GTTGGAGTGCGAACTCTATTCGAGTTGTTTGGGTCACCAACCCAACCAACCCAACTCAATACGGGTTGCTCGGGTCAAGTACCCAACCAACTGAAATAGATTTCTCCATCTCAATCCAACCCATATACACCCCTAAAACAAAGTATCGAGAGGATCGAGAACATAGAAAAAACAGTATTATAATGCAAACAAACACAATCCCACCACGAGTAAAAGTGAGAAAAACCTACGATACAATCATTGAAACGACAACATCTACATCAACACAAAGTCATTTTAAAACGAAACGAAAAGAGAATCCACACGAACTTAGATCATTGAAACGACAACATCTACATCAACACAAAGTCATTTTAAAACGAAACGAAAAGAGAATCCACACGAACTTAGATCATTGAAACGACAACATCTACATCAACACAAAGTCATTTTAAAACGAAACGAAAAGAGAATCCACACGAACTTAGATCGAACATCTACATCAACACAAAGTCATTTTAAAACGAAACGAAAAGAGAATCCACACGAACTTAGATCATTGAAACGACAACATCTACATCAACACAAAGTCATTTTAAAACGAAAATCCACACGAACTTAGATCATTGAAACGACAACATCTACATCAACACAAAGTCATTTTAAAACGAAACGAAAAGAGAATCCACACGAACTTAGATCATTGAAACGACAACATCTACATCAACACAAAGTCATTTTAAAACGAAACGAAAAGAGAATCCACACGAACTTAGATCGAAAAGACGGGTAACGACAGAAAATGAGAATCAAAACCTGAAAAGAGAGGGCAAAAGGAAGCCTATCAGATGTAGATATGGAGGTGGAGGACGAGGGTGAAGAGGCAGAAGAGGGCGAAGAAGATGAGGGAGTGAAGAAAAATGGAGGTGGCGCTGGTTTCAAAATTTCCGAACTCAATGAACTTTTCAGCGCCATGGACTTGAACCACGAGCCCTGGAGATAGCAGAATGAACAGAACCACGGCTACCACCACCGGACCCCAATCCGCCATTTTTGCTTCTTGTCCTCTGCTTTCTCTCCCCCTTCTTTTTATTTGGCCCCATCTACAAAACATGACAAAATCTTCCATTTTTTAAAATTATTTTTATTGTTTAAAAGACCGAGCACGACTTGAAATGACTTTACTTTTCGGGTCGGTTTTTTAATTACGATTCTAGTCAACTAGCTGGTCTTGTTTGGCGACCGAGTGACTGGTAAGTAGTGATATTTATCGAGTGGAAGATAAAGAAACACTTGAAAACGAAAGATTTGTGAAAGTATTTAGAGAATTGTATTATTGGAATATGAAATATGCGTATGGTTTGGTTTATTGGACGTGTTTATAGGGCTAAATACGTAAAACTAATGGGTTTAACGACCCGAGTAAAACTTTCTTTATAATTAGTACATTTAGAATGAAGACTTTTTAGCTACTATACGAACGGTATAATAAGCTTCATTATATAGCAAGAATGTTGGGTCTTGAAGTGAATGGACCGTGAGATATCAAATTAGTTGTAGAAGGGAACAAAACATTTTTATAAAAGTGTGAAAACTTATTTTAGGAAACGGGTTTTAAAAATCTCGAGAGGAAGCCCGAAAGTAAAAGCCCGTTACAAAACATTAGTAGAACGTTTAAAAAATACCCATAAATTTTGAAAAGTAAATTTAATACTTTTTTAACTTTTAGTAAAAAAAAAATTCTAATTTTTTTTTTACCATTAATATCTTTAAAATCTACGCTAAATATATATATTTTTGAATTTTTTTTAGAAAATTAAAAAGATATTTTAAATAAATTATTAATTATCGGAATGTTTAAATATATATATATATATGAAATATAAGAGTATTTTTTATGATTTAATCTTTCATTAAATTGTAATTTTTTTATATTTAAGGTTAATAATTAAAAAAGGCATCAATGTAATTATATGCCGATAATAAATATTTTAACTTATTTAAAAAAATATGAATATTTATTTTTTTAGTTTAAATATATATTTTGTAATTTTTTTTTTCTTTTTATAATATTTCCCTAAAATTAGAAGCTTCCTATTTGGGTCGCGCTTTGATATTTTAAATTTGATGGCCGGCAGGAAAAGGCAAAACGCGACTGTATCATCAGAGCATCAACCACCAACCCCCATTACTATAAGTGTGGCTCAAATTCAGCCATTTGTGCTCTGCTCCCTCACGTCCGACGACTTCTCTTCCCTCCGGCGACCTCATTCCTCCGCTCCTCATCCGCGCACACACAGCAAAAATGGCTTCTCAAGTTCCTCGAATCAAGCTCGGATCTCAAGGCCTCGAAGTGTCCGCACAGGGCCTCGGCTGCATGGGCATGTCCGCCTTCTACGGGCCCCCCAAGCCTGACTCCGACATGATCGCTTTAATCCACCATGTCATCGACCGCGGCATCACTCACTTCGATACTTCCGACATCTATGGCCCATTCACCAACGAAATCCTCGTCGGAAAGGCTCTCAAGGGCGGCGTCAGAGATAAGGTTGAATTGGCCACCAAATTCGGTGTTAATCTTTCTGATGGCAAGAGGGAGATACGCGGAGATCCGGCCTATGTGAGAGCCGCTTGCGAGGCCAGTTTGAAGCGCCTCGATGTCAATTGCATCGATCTCTATTACCAGCATCGGATTGATACGAGGGTTCCGATTGAAGTCACGGTTTGTTGCTTCTTCCTTCTACTCTGTTGCTTCTATGTTGTTTGGATTTGTATGATGAATCGTGTTGGTGTGAGTGGAGTATAACGAGTTCCTTTGGATTTGAATTGATTTTGCTCGCTTTCTATTATATACTGCGTTTTGGCATATTTGTCAGTAGGGATTGGGACCTAATGTTAGGTGAAAGTACTTTGACTTCTATGCCTTGATTTGGAAATGAAACCCCACATTTTGCCCTAAATTTCTGTCTCGAATTTGAAGGAGATCAAACACTCCTTCCCATTTCCAGAGAACATTAATTGATAATGGACAAAGCCTCTGATCTTTCAAAAGCCTTCTCTTTCTTCCCAACCAATGTCTAGTTGCAAAGAGATCGTAGGGTTTTCCTTTCCAACGTTTTCAATTTAATTTCTTGAATCATTACAATATCCGGACATTGCTTCTTGATAACACGTCCAATTGATTTTCATTTATTTACGAGCAAACTGTGAGGAAGGATGTTCTTTTCACATTCATCTCTACTGCACATCAAGCAGCTGATACACCGAACAGCGCAATGTGGAACTGAATTTCTTATATCAATGTCCCAACTCACGTCATCATCTGGTTATTCATTTGAGGGGCTTTACTCTAACTAAGCTGTTCTAGTTAGTTCTGGTTAGATAAGTTTTAAACAACGTAAGTGTGAGATCCCACATTGGTTGGAGAGGGGAACTAAACATTTCTTACAAGGGTGTGGAAACCTCTCCCTAGCAGACACATTTTAAAACTTGAGGGGAACCTCGGAGGGGAAAGCCCAAAGAGGATAATATCTACTAAGGTGGACTTGGGCTGTTACATTAAGTGAGCTGTTAACTGTACTGAAGAGCATAAATTTGTGTACACCTCATTACTTTTATGTTTGAATGTGTAACAATTTTTACAAGTTGAGGAAGTTTTCAGTCTTTCAACTTCTCATGATGACGTTTTCCCCCTTTTGTCTATGGAAAGATTGGAGAACTTAAGAAATTGGTGGAAGAAGGTAAACTGAAATACATAGGTCTATCTGAGGCTTCAGCTTCCACAATCAGAAGAGCACATGCTGTTCATCCAATAACAGCTGTGCAGCTTGAGTGGTCTTTGTGGTCAAGAGATGTAGAGGAAGAGATCATTCCTACTTGCAGGTTAGGATTTATTAATGCCAGTATCCATCTTTGTTAGATTGATTGTTGACCCCAATATTATTCTTTCAATTGTCGAAGGGAACTTGGCATTGGAATTGTGGCATACAGCCCTCTTGGACGAGGCTTCTTCTCATCTGGGCCCAAGCTTGTTGAAGGTCTCCAAAATGATGATTTCCGGAAGGTTTGCATCTAAATAGTAAACTGACTTTCATTTTATTTGAACGAATTTTAGGATCGTTTATGCAATATAAGTTAAGATATATAATTTTAAAGATGATCAAACTATTACATCAAGTTTTAATGGTTTGTCACTTGAATTCTCGGTAGATATTGATTTCTAAAGTCTTTCTATTTTGTTGGTTCCCTTTTCACCTTACATCGAATGCTGAAGCTTAAATGTCAGGAACGTGCTCTTCTGGTTAACTTCCAAGCTCAAGTTACTGAGATTCTGTTTCAATTGTCATTATTATTGTTTCTTTTTGCTGTATAGCATTTGCCACGGTTCCAAGGCGAAAATCTCGAGCACAATAAAACTGTATTTGAGAAGGTTAGGGCAATAGCAGAAAGAAAAGGGTGCACCTCATCGCAGCTGGCTCTGGCCTGGGTTCACCACCAAGGAAATGATGTGTGTCCAATTCCCGGAACGACTAAGATTGAAAATCTCAACCAGAACATTGGAGCTTTATCCGTTAAACTCACACCTGAAGAACTGGCCGAGCTCGAAGGCCTTGCTTCAGCTGATGCAGTCAAAGGCGATCGATATTCAAGCTCCCTGGCGACATGGAAGGACTCTGAGACACCACCCTTCTCTTCATGGAAAGCCTCTATCTAAGCTGCTTGGCATGGTTTGGGCTTGTCATTGTGTTTTCAGAGTCTGCTGTCTGTGTGTTCTGTTATCGTTTTTCAATAAAAAGAATGTTTACCACCATCTTTTATTCAGCTGAAAGTTGACCAAAACGCCATGATTTGTCAACTGTCACTGGGATGATGGTCTTGTGTGTACTGTACTCGAACATGAGAAATGTTTATGACAATTTAGTTTTAGCTTGGGATTAGTAGAAAGTTTGGTACATTCTTGGGAATCAATCAGAAAATGGTGTGACCTAGTAGGGATGCAAGTCAAACCCACATATTCATCGAAGAACGGTTAAATACTTTTAGATTAAGTTCATACAAGAATCAAAGACAAATTGAGAAAGATACCACCAAGAATCTCTCACAAACAAGCAATAGAACACCAGAAAAGTTGAACCAAAGGCATCATAACATCAAAACATCAGGAACTGATATCATAATTTCCATGTCTGTTTCATGTAAACCCAACCATTTCAAACCTTTTCAAGTTGATATCAGAAAAACCAACGCTAGGATCTTTACCCTCCTCAATCACCTTCCTTACCCTCTTCACTCTCTCAAGAATCCCTTTAACTGCAATATCAAAACCATCCTCAAAACTCTCTAATCTTGATCTGGGGTCTGCATAAATCACCCTAGGAATCATGTTAACCACCTCTTCTCTCATCTCCAAGATTTTCTTGCTTGAAATTCTCTCCAAAACCTCACTAACATTCACCTCTTTTGCTTTGATCTTGTTTGAAGGAATGAAAACAGAGTATCTCTGGTGATCCTTTGGAAAGTACCAATTGTACTGTCCATAAGCAGTCCCTGGGTGAAATAAAACAGGTATACACCCTGCTAAAATGGCATCAAACATTGATCTTCTTGTAAAGGAATCCCCTGGTGGCTGCAAGCAGAAAACAGAGCTCATAAACGTGTTCATTACTGTAGCAGGGTCACTACATTTATTCTCTCCAGAGATGCAGGCTAAAAAGAAGCAGTTCTTTGAAGCTTTGCACTGGTTTATGAGCTCCCCTCTAATGGAGGTTTCTTGTTTTGGCCTTGTTCCTCCGACAAAGGAGAAAAGGAATGGCCTTTTCTGTGTTGTAACCTTCCTCTGCCAGTCTATGATTTGGGAGTCCCTTGAAGGGTGGAAATCAGTGGGATATGGGATTGCTATATCATTGTTCCAATACGCCGTTTCTATTGTCAGCATTGTTGTGTTGTTGAGTTCTGGTAAAAACATGAGTTTTGAGCCCCAATCCGAGTCATTTTCGTCATGTCTTCTATAATCCCAAGCGATTCTTCCTCCAATCAAGAAATGGTCTCTGCCCCACATGGCTTTCCACTCTGGTCTTTGTGATAGCCACTTAGCCAATTCAATTGGCCCTTTGTCCCTTACAGAGATATTGAATCCCCATAGATAAGGTCCAACATCAAGGCCTGCATAGAATGGCACAAAAATTGCTGCTGCTTTAGAGGAATCCTTTGTTAAGCACTTATATTGCTTCATTCTGTGATGAAAAATGACTTCCAAGGAGAATTGGCTGGTGTAAAACCAGCCTCTGTTAGTCAAATCTTGCAGGGAATTGTTCTGAACTTCTGGGCCTAATCCCACGTTATGCCACACAAATCTGCAAACTTCAGACCATTTCATATGAGGTAATTTGCAGTTCTGTACCAAATCTTCATTGAATTTCTTGGGAAGATTATGAATGTAAATGAATTTCCCTTGGCATGATGAGTCCTCTGCTTTGGCTTTTCTGGTTCTTCCTCTGCGATGAACAGCTCTTTTTCTTGATCTTTTGGCTGGATGAGAAATGGAAGAGGAGCTGTTATGAGTTTCTATTGGTTTTTGGTCAATGGAGGAGCTAGGAATCAGAGCTTTAATGGCTTCTTCTGTTGGTTTTTGATCAATGCAGGGGTTGGGTGATGAAGAAATGGACGAGGAATTGGGGAAGTCATTGTTTAAGAAGGTGGCTTCCTTTGTTCTTGATTCGTACAAGGCAGAGTAATCAAAGAAGACAAATAAAGAGCATAAAATGAAGGAGATTAGTGCAACAGAAGAGATTGGATTAGTGCATTTTGGAACTATGATCTTCATTGTTCATCTGTTCTCAATGGAATCGTAACCTACGTACTTACGAGCGCAAGACAACTCTTAAACAAAATCACAACCTCCTTCGAACAAGTTCAGTAAAATAGCTTCGAACTTCAGGAGAAATGGCAGAAAGACAGACGTCATGTAAAGTAACGGAATATCACAAGGTAGAGTAGTAGCAACGATAACTATAGCGATCCTATGATAACGAACGTTGAAGAGGGATCTCTTTTATAGTAAGGAAGGAAGTGAATAGAGCCATACAAGGTAAAATATTTAGGTCCTAAAATGAACATTCTAAACATATCCCTCCAATTATTTCTTCTTTCCTTTTTAGTTCGATTGCTCGACAAACTTCCTTAAAATCGAATCATTATAGATTTAGTATCGATAGTAATATCTTAGAAGTTTCGGTTTTGTTTCGTTTCGATTTTATCATATCTTAAAATATCTACTAGTGTTATACTTTTCGATTCTCATTATTAATTTATTTATTGTTTAGTTCATAATATCTGAGCCCACGGTGGTCGAAAATATGTCTTAACTGTTAATTAACACCGTTAATTATTTTTTAATAAATGATTTATGAGGTTTTGAACTTTATAGTATTTCAATATTGTGGCTGAACAAGATGATTAAGACGAGTATCCGTTTTTTTTTTCCATAGTTAAATTTTGTTCAAATTGATACTAAAATAAAATGAGATATACCATTAAAAAATAAAATATTTTAAATGTTAGATTCCGAACGGATTCTATTTTATTTGGAAATAAATGACCAAAATATAGAGGAATCCTTTTAATTTCGTAATAGTTTATTCTAAAGTCCTTCCGACCATCGGTAAACTGCTTCAATATCGGCACCATTCGTAGAAGAAGACAAAAGTGAACTCTTTTCGTGACTAATAGGTATATTTACTTATTTTCTTAGGATTAGAGATTCAAATCTTCTTACCGAACTTGTTGTACTCCTGAGTATATTATTTATTATCATCAATTAGGGAAACTAAATCTCACCGTCCACTCATCCAAGAATCTATCACAACTGACTATTGAACTCGGGAAAATGTGGCTCTATCTGCCCAATTAAACTTAGAAGGTCGAAGAACGATTCTAACTCGTTTACTCGTATACTAAGCAAGTTAACTATCTTAACATAGGCTCAATAAAACACAATTGAATAGTCAAATGTCAACTTATTTTACTAGCTCATTCATGCTTATCCAAGTCGACCATACAAAGTATGTTTACATAAGAGATCCGAAATGGATACTTACAATGTTCAAGAAGTTTTAGGTCTCATATCTCCTCCTTCCTCCCGCTCAATTTCCTCCAAATTTCTCAGTTAGTTCTTAAACAGCCCATCGTGCAGGCTTCCCGCTGGGCCCGCTATGACAAAAGAGAGAGAAATCCCATCACTCTCCTTCATTTTTTTCGCCCCCATGTCGCTACACGGGAGGGACATGGAGACGTAAAAAAGGGGATCCTATCAACTTGTTCCAACCTAGGATAATAAGTTCATAGACATAGTCTTACTTCAATGTCGAGAAACGAAAGAAGACTTTATTTCAGATGTAGCTCGACTCTTTTTCGGTTTGAAGCACGGTTGTGAACTACAAAACTTTATTTGGTGGCAAAAGATTAAAAAATAATAATAATAATAAGGTCCAAAAAGTCGTTTTTTTTCCCTTTTCTAAATCAGTATATCGTGTCAAAAATTTCTGGAAGGCTGCGGATTGATTTTGCGGTTCATAGCTCTTTCATCATCCGCTCCAAAAGGAAAAACAACGTCTAAGCACATGCTTCGCCTCAGACAAGAGTGGACGGATTGGGATTTTGGGAAGCGTCTTTTCGCCTTTGGCTTCTAGCTCTGTCTTCTGTATGCTTATTGCTTGTCTTTTATATGAATTTTTTTGTATAATTATCATCAGTTTCGTAATTCTTGTTAAATTCAGTGGCTAAGGAGCGATTCATTGCCACATTCAATCTGGAGATTGATTGATTGATTGCCTCATAATTAGAAAATATCTTCCATCCATCGGGAACTCGGAAGAACAATCTCGAGTTAACTCACTTTCTCTATCTCTGCTTCTGTTCTTTCTCGCTTGAAGCAATTAACTATGTTGAGTTGGGAATGCCCGCAGTGATACCAGTGGCACTTCGCTCCTTGGAGGAATAATGGGTTCTATTCGCGCTCCGCATTGTTCTATAACTTCTTCGCATATTCATTTGTGTAATAGGTTCCCATTCCCACGTACTTTGAATTGCCACCACCATCACCAGCTGCAGTGCCGTAAAAACCCTTTTCATTTCACTATTTTTTCCGAACCTGGGTGTCTTTCTTCTTTTTGTAATCATAGCAGGCAGGTCGTCAGTGGGGCTTCCTCTGCTTCTCAAGGAACTATCAGGTTAAGTGGGCTATCATTTGAGGTGTTCTTTTATTGCTTCATCCGATTAATGCGATGATCACGAAATGGTGTTGGTTTTTAACAGGGAAGATGTAGAGCAAAAGATGACTGGGGAACTGGGAAGTGGCGGGAAAGTTCTTCTGAAGGTGAGGTTGGCTCACCAAGTTGAATTTGGGGAGTCTGTGGCAATTCTAGGGTCATCTGAGGAATTGGGCTCTTGGAAGAATTGTGTTCTTCTGAATTGGAGTGAGGATGGATGGGTTTGCGATTTAGAGCTTAGAGGGGATGAGCGAGTCGAGTTCAAGTTAGTCATTGTGGGAAAGGATGGGAGTGTGTTGTGGGAATCTGGAGATAACCGGGTTCTCCAGCTGCCTAAGACAGGGAAATTTAGCTCAGTTTATCAATGGAATCAAACTGGTGAGGCTGTTGAAATGTTGCCTTTGGATGTTGAAGAGGTTAGTGAAGAAGATGAAATATTGCCTTTGGACGTAGAGGAGGTTAGTGAAGGAGATAAAATGTTGGCTTTGGATGTAGAGGAGGTTAGTGAAGAAGATGAAATGTTGGCTTTGGATGTAGAGGAGGTTAGTGGAGGAGATAAGATGTTGGCTTTGAATGTAAAGGAGGTTAGTGAAGGAGATAAGATGTTGCCTTTGGATGTAGAAGAGGTTAGTGAAGGAGATAAAAGGTTGGCTTTGGATGTAGAGGAGGTTAGTGAAGGAGATAAAATGTTGGCTTTGGGTGTCGAGGAGGTTAGTGAAGGAGATAAAATGTTGCCTTTGGGTGTCGAGGAGGTTAGTGGAGGAGATAAAATGTTGCCTTTGGGTGTCGAGGAGGTTAGTGAAGGAGATAAAATGTTGGCTTTGGATGTAGAGGAGGTTAGTGAAGGAGATAAAATGTTGGCTTTGGATGTAGAGGAGGTTAGTGAAGGAGATAAAATGTTGGCTTTGGATGTACAGGAGGTTAGTGAAGGAGATAAAATGTTGGCTTTGGATGTAGAGGAGGTTAGTGAAGGAGATAAAATGTTGGCTTTGGATGTACAGGAGGTTAGTGAAGGAGATAAAATGTTGGCTTTGGATGTAGAGGAGGTTAGTGAAGGAGATAAAATGATGGCTTTGGATGTAGAGGAGGTTAGTGAAGGAGATAAAATGTTGGCTTTGGGTGTCGAGGAGGTTAGTGAAGGAGATAAAATGTTGGCTTTGGGTGTCGAGGAGGTTAGTGGAGATAAAATGTTGGCTTTGGGTGTCGAGGAGGTTAATGAAGGAGATAAAATGTTGGCTTTGGGTGTCGAGGAGGTTAGTGAAGGAGATAAAATGTTGCCTTTGGGTGTCGAGGAGGTTAGTGGAGGAGATAAAATGTTGCCTTTGGGAGTAGAGGTGGTTAGTGAAGGGGATAAAATGTTGCCTATTGATGTAGAGGAGGTTAGTGAAGGAGATAAAATGTTGCTTTTGGGTGTAGAGGTGGTTAGTGAAGGGGATAAAATGTTGCCTATTGATGTAGAGGAGGTTAGTGAAGGAGATAAAATGTTGCCTTTGGATGCAGAGGAGGTTAGTGAAGGAGATAAATTGTTGCCCCTGAAAGCGGAAGAGATTAATGGGGATGGAACGTCTCCTTTGGATGCAAAGGATTTCACTGAAGGAAATGAAACGTTGCCTTCAGATGCAAAGGAGATCACTGAAGGAGATACAACCTTGCCTTCGGATGCACTGTTGATCGCTGAAGAAGATACAACCTTGCCTTTGGATGCAAAGGAGATTAATGAAGGTGAAGAAACTTTGTCTTTTGATTCAAAGGGGACCGAAGAAGGAAATGAAACGTTGCCACTGGATGCAAAAGGGGTCAGTAAAGGAGATGAAATGTTCCCTTTTGATGTGAAGGGGATCAACGAAGGAGATGAAAAGGACAGGGATGTTGAAGCTGGCAATGGGCCTTTGGTAGAAGATGAGGCCAGTTCTTTGGTTGAGCAGTGGAAAGGGAATCTGGTACACCCCAACCGGGAATCTGAGGGGATTTGGGACACTTCTGGTCTTGAGGGGTTAGCTCTACAGTTGGTAGAAGGAGATAAAAATGCCAGGAATTGGAGGAGAAAGGTATTATAACAGACCCGTCTTTTTTTCTTCTTCTTTATTTCGAGTTTGCCTGATAGATGTGTATGTCTGATGATCTTTATACCTTTCTTTAGTCTATCTTGTTTTTTTTTTTTTTTTTTTTTTTTTTTTTTTT